TTTTAGGACCACTATTGTTCCTAATTTACATTAATATTATTGACACAAATACATACAGTAAACTGGTTAAATCTGCAGACGACACCAAGGTGAGCAGTGTAGCAGATACTGATCTAGCAGCACAGAGGCTTCAACGGGATCTGGATTTAATTAGCAAATGGGCTGATACTTGGCAGATGAAATTTAACACAGATAAATGTAAGGTAATCCATGCAGGGAGCAGAAATATAAAGTACAGATATTTTATGGGTTCCACTGAAATAAAGGTAGCTGAATACGAGAAAGATCTCGGTATGTATGTTGATGCTTCCATGTCCCACTCTCGCCAGTGTGGGGAAGCAATAAAGAAGGCCAACAGAATGTTGGGTTATATCTCTAGGTGTGTGGAGTTTAAGTCAAGGGAGGTGATGTTACACTTATATAATTCCTTGGTAAGACCCCACCTAGAATACTGTGTGAAGGTTTGGTCACCATACCTCAAGAAGGACATTGCTGCCTTAGAAAAGGTGCAACGAAGAGCTACGAGAATGATTCCTGGTCTTAGAGGAATGTCTTATGAGGAGAGGATAGCTGTTTAGCCTTGAGCAAAGGAGACTAAGGGGGGATATGATTCAGGTCTATAATATTCTAACGGGTCTAGATGCTGTTCAGCCAAATGACTATTTCAATATTACATTTTAAAACAAATTTGAGGAAGCACTTCTTTACACAGCGTGTAGTTAGAGTATGAAATAGTCTTCCTGCTAGTGTAGTGGAAGCTAAAACCATGGGTTCCTTTAAATCAGAGCTAGATAAGATTTTAACAACTCTGAGCTATTAGTTAAGTTCTCCCCAAACGAGCTTGATGGGCCAAATGGCCTCCTCTCGTTTGTAAATTTCTTATGTTCTTATGTTAACGAGGGGGCGTGGCACACGGAAGGAGCGGACGATCAGAGCAGGACACATTGTTTTTTTTTAACTTTACACATTGGATACATTTATTTTCTTACTTTACAAATTACTGTTTTGATAAATGTGCTTAGATGTCTTTAGTACAGTATATGCTCTTCTTGTTTAAACCGGTTCATTTTGTGTTTAAATGCTAAAACAAACATATTTAGGTGTAATTTTTGGGGCCGGGAACCAATTAATTGGTTTTCCATTATTTCTTATGGGGAAAATTCAATCAGAAGCCCGAACTTTTTCGGATTCGATCCGGAGTTCTGAACGGATTAAGTTCGAGTTCTGAGGTACCACTGTATTTATATATTTATTAAGACAGAACTTTTTGGGTATAAACCAAGACTGGGTTGACAAACTTATACTGTAGCCTACTTATTTCCTCTGCAAATTCACAGTTGATTTCTGACTTCAATAAGTCGCTTTTATAGTATTGTAGGCCTACAAATTGAAATACAAAATAATTATATGGGATATTTCATTACCTAAGACACTGTTAAAGAGTCAAAAGACAAACCAAAAGCTATTGCGAATGCATTATTTACATGGACGTCCATTATCTCAAAAACTAGAACCAAAAAGCAAAAGTAATGGGATTTTTGAATTCAGCACTCTCAAAATACCCCAAATCCATTAAAAAAACCTTGGCACCTGATTTTTTTGTAGACCTGTCTTATTTATGATGTTTTATGTCTTCTATCTTTTATTTGTAATAATTACTTTTTGTTAGTTATTTCCTCGGTGAAGCATCCTTAAGTTGATATAAGGTGCTATATAAATTAAAATAGTCATGTACCAAACCATGCGGTACCTTTTTGCGGAGCCGCCCCTGTGGGCCATGCCGCTCAAGCATGCAAAAACGGGAATACCCCAGCAAACAATCTTCGGTTCGCCGAATGTCCGGCGAATGTGCGCTGAACGGTACGGGAATGTTCTGCTAACTTAATTCAGGAAAGTTTTCTTACCGTTCTCAGAAGTTAGTTTTCGAGAAACTACGGTTTGTGGAACGCTCTCCAAACGTTCGTAGGACATTCTCCAAATTTTGCGGTGAATAAACAAAATGTATATTAAAATGTGGCATCGCCTAGTTTTTTCTTTTTACTCTTTATATCTTACTGGGTTAGGGTTTCCGTGTATTACATATAATTCTCAGAAATCGTGTCAGGTTAGCTTAGCTAGCTTACGCTGAATGTTGTGAATCAATCAAATAGTAAAAAAATCTTAGAAATCCTGTCAGAGTAGTGCGTGTAATAGTTAAAAGAAAGCTGAATGTTATATGAAATTTTCTCAGAAATCATTTAATATGTCTACTTCTGTCACGCCCACGGAGGCGGGTCAACTAGGTGTCGGGTATTAGGGACTAATTACCTCCCTTATTTAAGGAAGGAACAGTACACAAGCCAACTGCGAAGTATTGCGCTTATGACAAGCCTTACCGAGCATTCTTCTGTCTCCAGTTCTCCTTTACTCCCGTTCGTTGCCTGTTTACCTTTTGTAAAACCCTTACCTCTTATCCCTTGCCTCCTCAGTCCCGTTCCCGTCCTTGAGTCTCCAGTCCTGCTGAGCCCGGCTTTCATCATCGTCCAACCCTCCTGTCACCCCGTATTGTGTGTGTACTCGTCGGACGGACTCCACGGCTTTCGACCCACGCTCTCGTCCCTCGACCACAATTACCGCTCGCCCCGTTTGGACCTGAGTGCCCGGCTTTTCGCCTGTATTAAGAGAACTCTGTTCTGTAACTGCTTGATCTGTGCTCTATTAAAACCGGCTTTCCCCGTACTTCTGGATCCGTGTTTCCCTCGCCAGCTCGGTGTGACACATACTGTACAGTATATAGTGTAGACATTTCATACATTAACCTCACCCCTCTCTAAACCGCTATATTGATTGCTTTCCCCAACAATGAGTGACTTCAGCGAGCCGCATCGTCTTTTTCAGCATTTTTCAAGTCTGTAGGTTACGCAGGGGCTATGCGCAGAAACACGCATGTTCTGTATCAGTCAGGGACCAATCAATTAAGTTCATGTGTCAGGTACTGATGGAATACCCGAATGTGCTGTCGTTTATTGGATTTAATTGAGTACACATTGGAGACAATTGACTTAATGGGCAGTCAAATACAATACATTACAGTTTTGGATAGAAACGGAAAAGCGGACCCAACACATCATTCGGGCTGGAATTGATATAAACAAAAACATAATACCAACCGTATCTTTATTTTAATTTAAAAATATTTATTAAATATTTATATTCTTATGTTACATATGTAACCTTAAGAGAACCTTCAAGGAACATGCCCTAAAAGTTATTTTACGGCTCTAAAAAGTAACCTCAAGGGAACCTTCACAGAACGTTTGTAAAAGGATACAAAAACGTAACCTTAATAGAACCTTCAGGAAACGTTCCCTAAAGCCGTTCTAATTTACTGATCTCTTCCATTTAGGGGGCTTTCATTCACATTCTCATTGTTTTTGCCATATTTTGTCCTTAATTAACTCTGTAATTCTTGCGTTTTTTAATTTCAATTAATTTCATCTTAGTTTTTCAGTGTACAGTAAATCAACAATTAAATACGTGGCCAATCTCAAACCTGAAAATAAAAATGCTCATAGATATCAAGTCTCATGTTTTCCCTGTGAGACTAATGCCTTTTAGCCTATGTTGCCATCTCACGAGTTGTCATGCACCTAAAGTGAAGAAGCTTACTACGATGACCGCTGGAACCCAAGCCACCCCGCCCAGGCTGACATATAAGGATTATACAATATGCTAAGTTACATATGAATTCCACCTGACTTCCCAGTATTAAACACGATATGGTTTTTGCCTAAAATTTATTTTACACATGTAACCCGGGGGTTATTTATTAGGTTAAAGTAAAATTTAATATAGTTCATAATTAAACATTTGGACTATGAATTTCATTGTGAAATAAGAAATAAATAAGCAAATAAGTTGAAGTAGTCTATTGTTGCGGAGAGTTTGAGACAAGCAGGCAAGCAAGCAATGGGACACAGACTTTACTCAAAGGCAACATTGATGACAGACCTAGTCGAACATACTCGAATGCGGAATACACAGGACAAGCTGGAAATTACATCAAACAGCTGGGAACAATTAGGGTTTCACGCGAGGTAAGGAGGGGGCATGGCACCCGGAAGGATCGTACGAGAAGGTCATGACAGAACCCCCCCCCCCAAAGGCGCACACTCCAGGTGCGTCTCAGGGGAGGCAAAGGATGAGACAAAACCAGGAAGACATGACCTGAAAAACAAGGCAAAAGCATCACTGGGTAAAAGGAAACAGAACGGAAACACAGAACAAGCACAATGGCAAAATCCAAGCTAGAATCTGGCACAGAACATGGAATGCAGACAGGCAGACCAGGAAAGGAGACACAGGGGAAACAGAGAGTGGAGGAACAAAAGGACCAGTCCAGTACACCCTGCAACATGTGACGTCGCCACTACCAATGACGACCGTGCATCCAGCTCGCCGTTCTGCCTGTGTCATCTTCCTTGAATGACCCGCTCCCTGCCTTCTGGCTGCCTGGCGATTGGAGGGAGTGGTGGCACCGGCTTGTCATCTCCCCC